TACCTGTCATGGACCTGGTTCTGTATCAGGCATTAGAGGAGTTATTGGCAGTCCCTAACCTAAAGTTAAGTATCTTGCAGTGTGGTTGGAGGAAGCAGACAAGTAAGTAGATGATTTTATAGTTAGTGTCTGAATGTCCCTCAAAATTTATGTGTTAAAACTTAATCCACATTGTAGTGGTATTAATGGGTAGCACCTTTTGGGAAGTGATTAGTTCATGAGGGTAGAGCCCTCATGAATGGATTAGTGCCTTATTAAAGGGATGGAGGAGATTAATTTAGGCCCCTTTTTGCCTTTCTACCTTTTGTCTTGAGAAGACATAGCGTTCATTCCCTGTGAGCATGCAATGACAAGATGCCATCTTACAATCAGAGAAAGCAGCCCTCCCCAGAGACTGAACCTGCTGGTACTTGGTCTTGAGCCATGCTTCAGAACTGTGAGAAATACATATCTGTTATTTAGAAATTATCCATTCTGTGATGTTTTGTTTTAGTAGCACAGATATACTAATACATGAGGAATTTGATAAGAGGTATACACAGAATGCTAAAAGGTCACAAGGGAATGAGGAAAGAGAGAAAGTGAAGTTTGTCAAAAGTCTTTTTTCACATGAGAGGTTATGAGGTATATTAGTTTGAAGCTTAGGCTTTGGACCCCAAAAGGCTCAGATTTGTTCTGCTTACTAGTCTTGTGTACTGGGACAAGTCACTTAGGTTTTTTTTTTTTTTAGCTTAGTTTTTTTTTTTCTATAAAATAGATATAACATCTACCTTCATCAGTTTGTTTTGAAGTTGGATAGTGAGAGGAAACATGTCCCTACCATTTAAGCAATTATTTCTCTGGAGATTGTTGCTGGGCCTAGGGGGAAAAAGGGACAATTATTTATTTATTTTCAAATTCTGCAACTCTTTATCTATATGTTTAAAGGGAGCGAAATAACTATGCTCTATAAGTATGCTAACTATTTTCTGTGTTAGCAAAACATTGTGTACATATATGCCTCCGGGTTATAACAAGTCTAAAAGTGTTGAAGTGTTTTTGCTTCTGAATTCTTTCAGCCTCATTGTAATTTGTCCCCAGAGTTGTTTTTTTCTTTACTACAACAGATTTTCCAAAACACTCTTTAAAAACTCATTCATTGTACTTAGAAGTTCACATGCTTATTAAAATATCCTAATATTTGAGAATTCTCATTATCAAATCCAAATATCACAGGAGTTAGTTACTTTTTTATGAAGGCAAAACCATGCAAGGGTGCAGTTCACATGTATGTAATTTTTAAAACACATGTGACTTTTGCTATCATGAATAAAACAGTTTAAAAAAGTAGATTATAAACTTCTGGAGTCTACACTGTATATTTTGTATGTTTTCTTTATTAAGAGTTTTCAGTATTATATTTTTTATGTACATATAATTTTTCAGAATTATCTAAATATAGTATTTTTTTCATACTGACACTGCAAATATTTTTTTTTTATGGTATTGTGTATTATGATTTTTTCCTACTTGTTTAAGCAGCAAATACTAGTATTTTGTCTCCTAGTACCAGAAGATTTTAGATGATTTCATTTGCTGAAATTAGGCAAGCAAGGATTGCTTGTAAATAACATATTTTGTTTTGTCTTGTTATACTTTGTAAATATGATTCTGTCAATATTTATTCCTTCCATTTTAATTTAGGTTTTTTTTTTTCCCCAAAACGCCTCAAGTCTTGGTGAAATTTAATGCTTCTGAACAGAGACAGCTGGTTTTGCTCTCCACTTTGCACAACTTGTCAGATTTTTAAATTGTTTTTGTGCTGATACTTTTTCCAACTGGGTAGTGTTTTTTCTCCAAATCCAAATATCTTTAAAAACATAGAACTGTTAATCTTTTCAATATTACCACCAAGTTATTCCTGTTTTGTAATACATGCCAGATACATTGCTGTGTAGCCTTTGAGAAGCTACTTCACCTTTCTCTCTTCATCTTTAGAAAGTGGTAGGATTGTGGCACATGGTTTCCAAAGTCCGTTGTGCAGTGACTTTATATCAAGTTAATGGAAGTCAGTCTATAATGTGCTTTTAGCTCTTGGAGAGTGTTGGGTAGGGAGTCCTGAAATTGCCTATAGACTAATGGCATGATTAGCAAGGATATTCCCAATTTTCTTTTAAGAAGCTCATAGTCCCATATTGTGTCATGTCTGTCTAACTGTGTATGTGTGTGTACCAACTCAGAAACTAAGCAAAGTTGTACAGTTGTGACTTTGACATCCTAAATTTTCAGTAAGTCTGAGGAGACATAAGTAGACAGATCTTATCTTTTTGTTGCATCTGACAGAATATGACTCAACTGATTGAGGCCAAAAGAGGTGTGTGTGAGGTTTGTAGAGTGATGCAGTGGGGAATTTTAATCAAGAATGGTTAGGGGTAATGTATACCTTGCAGGCTACTAGAAACAGTTGGTAGTTATTTATTATAAAGGGTGTTGTATTCCTTCTGTTTTCTTGCATTTTAGCTTTATTCTTTCCTTCTTCTTAGAAGTTTTCTCCATGAGTCAAGGGACGTGATAGTCGGCAGTTCTAGACTTATCTCCTCATAACCCTGTGGCTAGAGATCTTACCAGCTAGCTCTATTTTATAAAAAATAATCAGGGAAGGACTTATATTTGACCTAGTGTAGGGCATATGCCTTTCGCAGTGACCAGGGGATAGGGCTTATTACCAAAAAGAAGTTATGGGTCATCAAGCATTACTTACTGGAAAAACAAAATCACGATTACTGGTATTTAAAGATATGAAGTTTTAAGCTTATTCAAAAGTAGACAAGAAAATCCTAAAAATTATAATTTGTCATGGAAAAGTTTTAAAAATGTTATTTACATAGCTTGTACCTTTTGCGTGACCCATGTTGTGAAAGCCATGCTCTTTGTTTATATCTTATAGGTATATTTCAGTGGTTAGCTGGATCACTTTTGGTTTGTGTAGTTCTGTTTATATGCACATAATGCTGTATTCTGATGATTTTGAACTTAGTGCACTCTATTCCAGAAGAAGAAAGGCTTTGATTTGGATCCATCCAAAGTTACAGTCAGATGTGGAAAGATGTCTGCATATGTGTGTGCTCAACTTTGAGTTCTTCTTCCCGTCTCATTTTATTTATTTATTTATTTATTTAATGTTTGTACTTAGTGTCCTCAGGAATTAATATTTACATATTAGAATAAATAAGTAAAATGATTCAAGTTTATTCTTGTTATTTTATTATTTAATGCCTAGTTGATTCTTCTTTATGCAATAGCTTAGGATAAGAAGCTAACATTTCTTTACTAGGATTTTTACATAATGATTATCCCATGACTTATAATTTTTAAAAATCTAGATGCATTTCAGTTCAACCAACATTTTGAGGTCTAGTGTGCTCTGGGCACTGGGATTACCAAAAAAAGTAAAAACAGTTATGTTCCTTAACATGAACTTAGAAATAAATAGAATCAGAAAGTTCTCCTACATTATACTGATGTTAACTGCTTGATATGCTTAGTTGGATCACTTTTGGTTTGTGTAATTCTCTTTATGTGCACATCATATTGCATTCTGGTGGTTTTGAACATAGCCTGCTCTATTCCAGAAAAAGAAAGACTTTTTAAATTTGGATCCAACCAAACTTATAGTCGGATGTGGAAAGGACATATCTACCTTAATTATGGCTCACTTTTTTTTTTAACATTTAAAGTTTTACTTGAATGTAATTTATTTTAAAATGATCGTATAAATTGTCTTGGTGAATTTTCACAAACAATACATCCATGAAACCAGCTCCTAGAATGACTTCATATTAAATACACCCAGTTTATAACTAAATTAACTACAGTGAGAATATTGGAAAGAATATTTTGCTGTATTGGTGCTTTTTTTCTTCATGAAGTTTTTGCTAGTTGCTTTTGTGGCCATTGTTTCTTCCAATAAAATAGTTTCTGGGACCTTGTAACTGAATGCTAGGAATGCCACTGTATTAAAGCATTTTTTTTTCCTGTGGGTACTCATTTTTATAGTTATTTATTTATTTTTTTAAAAATGCTGTAGGATAGCCTGCTAGTCCAAATGATTTTACCATGTAAAATCTAAAATTTTGAAGAAGTTGTACATATCATTTAGCAACATTTCTGGACATTTTTTTGTCATGTTAATATTTTTTTAAATTGTTATAGATTCATGTAACTTCTCTGATACTTCTCAGATTTCCTTCTGTTATATACAACTGTAGTGAAATCTAATGAATTCATAGTTATGAAATTTACATTACAGATTTCTTTTTAAAAATTATTAAAAAATCACTGAATATGGTTGAAACTATTGCACTTTTTAAGTATCTTAAGCATTTCAGAGGCATCTATTCTTGAGTATGTAATTGATATACTTCAACACTTATTTCCTCGTACATGTTACATGTTCAGAAATTAGTTGAGATTTATTATTTAATTTTTAAGATACTCTTATCTGCTAATCAGATATAACAAATCTAATCATTATAAATGTAATTTTTTCCTTGAATATTTTAAAGACATAATTATTTGAAACATTTGTATATTTTTAAATATACTCCAAACTAACATATTTTAGATTTTTATAGCATAAGGTTGTGTATCATTTATTCATTTTGAGATTTAGAAGAAAAAAGATTGATTTTAAAACAGATTAATGACATTTCTGAGAATGCTAAAATTGTCACAATTAAGCAAATCAATACAAAAATTTCATACTTACAGTAGTTATTCATTGGTAACTATTTAAATTTGTTTTTCACTAAAGATCTCTGTTACTGTCTCATGACATAAAAGATCAGGAGTGTGTGTGTGTGTATGTGTGTGTATGTAAGTAACTCTTAGGGTCATACCACGTTCAGTGGAGTAAGTAACTGAGAGTAACAATAAGAAACAGGAGATTTCTTTGCAGTAATTAATGTGTATATTATGTAAAGGAACTTTAATATCATATATCAATTCTTACTGTTTTAAAGGAGGGTGCCTCTGCTCGTAAGACTCAGACTCCTGCAACCCAACCTGTACCGAGACCAGGTAAAAATATACAACTTGATTTTTGTTTTCTTTCAAATATCAAATAACAGCACAAGTTTTTTGATGTGTGTAATGCTTTGAAAAAATTGAAATTTGACTCAAATACATTGAAATATCTTTTTTTCAAATAGACTTGATATTGCTAAGGCAGTTTTTAAAACAAATAGTACGTAAAATACTTGCTATACTTCAGTCAGCATCTTTAATAAGTCTTTATATTCTTAGCAGAAAAACATAAAGAAGTTAAGTGAAAAGCTTGTTGAATTATTTATTTTCCTGTAGTGCATTAAACAGCTCAACTACGTTATCTAATATTCTTTACTGTAATATTTTCACTGATTTGATTCAAAGATCATTGATAAAATAGGTTATAAAACACTCTGATTTTGGATAATGAAGTTATACCATAACAGTATTTACTTGTATAAATAGATGCAGCTGAATAGTTAAAGAAAATCTTTAAGAAATGTTTTAGTTTTGCTTAAGATTTTAGGAAAATGTTTTTAAAAGCTATTTATGTGTATCCACCTTCTCACCAGTTTCTTGTCCTAGTTCCATGATAGTAGTAAAATTTTAATTTTAATGCACTGATGTTCAGTTTTGATGCTTAGAATTTCAGATGTCTATGTTATTGAACGCATAAAGTTCTTTTTCATTTGAAAAACATGTTTTAGGCAAAGGTAGTATTGAAGTTACCGTCCTTAGTACTCCAAAAGGTGTATGCAGATACCAACACTATGTATTTTGGGTCTTTTGGGTTAGTTTTTGGGTTTTGGTATTTATTTTTACATTTAGCATAATTTCTATGCTTGGCTATACCACCTATCTTTTCCTTCCCTTATTAGTGCAGTTGAAAGTGAGTAAGAAGAAAATAAAGGATTGGAAAGGCATAGGCAATAATTTAACTGTGGGTCTTCCCATGAATTTGACAAGTATCATAGTGCACAATTGGATATCTTTTTATTCACAGTAGTTTGTGCACAGGCTAATTCTGAAATTATGTAGATTATAAATACTCAATATTCTGAAAGAATTACAAAAGTTTGGCATGTGGGGCTTATACTGGAATGGTTTTATAGGTAACTTCACTGTGTCCTGGATCTATAATCCTCTAGATATGGCCAGTAGTTCTTTTTTTGTTTGTTTTGTTTTGTTTTACATTGGGTTTGTTCAACATCTTTGTCATTTCTGTCTTTGAGTAGGAGTGGAGAAGAGGCGTGCTCTATCAGCCATGTTCTACTTGGAGCAGATTGGATGTAATTTAATTTAGATGACAGGACTATTTTAAAGCAGAGATTACAATACCAAAAGCCATATTGAGAGTGTAAGGAAGAACAATTAGATTCCACAAATAATTGAATGCCTTCTATGTACTAAGCTCTTTGATAGAAACTAGGAGAAGCTAAAGAAGCTGTTAACAGGAAGGAATAAAAAAATGAAGGAGATAGGGATGAGCAGATGAGGTTGAACCCAAAGGATACTTACTAGCAATGAAGAATAAGAATATTGTGGGAACAATTGAATCACAGATACAGAATTGTTCGTCTTTGGAAGGGAAGGATGGGAGGTAGTGTTGTCCATCTAAAGAAGATCAAATGAGACATTCAGAAATGATATAAAAGGGGATAAATCACCACCTGACGATTCCAACCCAGTTTTGTGTTCTGTGATGTAAAATTATCTCCATATCACATTTTTCACAATCAGTTAATATACAGTGGAAAGGACTGGGGAGGCACTGATGTCTAAATAAACCGTTTGTTCAGGTGTGCCTGTGATAAAATGAAGGTAAAGGGGTTGAGTTCTATTAGCCAGTTATAGGATCTAGGGGAAGATCATGTGTAAAGTAAGGAATTCTAAATCTTCCATATTCTTTCAGTGGCTCTACTAAGGTGCACTGGTGATTAAACTTTTGGAAATGAATTTGAACTAATACCTCATCAGATCTCAGATGTTCTGATGCTCAGTCTGTGTGAACTCTCCTCTTCCTTCTTCCGCTCACTACTCAGTACCCATAGGTACACATTTTCTATCCACCATTGTAAAAGACATTTGTTTTTTTGCTCTCATTTGGCAATAGGACCAGGTTTGAATTGATAGTAGCAGTTTGAAGTTGTTATTTGTCCTGATTCATGTATTTTTATTTGATGCAGAAATGTTTAACGTATCTGTTTAGGAGGTACAGCCCAGTTTTGAAGGGATATTTTTAACATTTGGCATGTTCACTCGCATCATCTTTTAAAATAAGAAATATGCATGTCCAAAACATATCTGATTGTATAAGATGAAGGATTATAGAAATGTAACTGTTATTTGTTGGGTAGAATTTGGGTCATTTGGAAATGGGCAACTAAACCATCTATTCTGTCCTTGAGTGAGAAACCTCAAGGATGGAGTTCCGTTTCTTAGCATTTTAATTTTTTTCTCTTTTTATCAAATATTTATTTATTACTATTGTACCAAGCAAATTCCTGAGTAAGTTTAATATATGTTTTTTAAGTTTAATGTTTTAAAGGGTTTACAGTTACACACTTTAAACCTCTAAAAATTTTCAACCCCTACGAATTCATTTAGGGAATATTACTAACAAGAAGCACATGTTTTCCAGTGGATTCATAAATGCAGGCTTTTGATAAGTTCTAATTCTGGATTTCTTTATCATTTCCATTTTTTAGCCAGAATAAATCTCTTGCTCATATATCTTTTCCCTTCTTCTTCTTGCCCAGTCCATACTTCAGTTTTCTAGTTTTAATTCTTGTACTTCATAGATCTTTTGAGATGAATAGGTGACCTATAGCTCTAGTTTATCTGCTTAATACCACTCATGTGAGATTGAGAGTTGTTTTATACAAATTTCTTATGCCATTTTATCACCCAATTTTTAACCTGGTCGGAGTACTTCTAGTCCCACTCCACGGTTTTAAATCTCTCTACTAATAATTTTCAAATAGGTATCTCCAATTTTAGACCTCTGGTATCTTACATTAATTGTCTGTGTAACATTTGGATATGGCATAGGCATTTTAAAACTAATTTAAAAATTATTTTCCCTGATATTTCTCGCAAGATCTTAGTCTACACTTATCTGGCTTCTTCATAAATAAGCAGCACCTCCATCACCTCTGTTTCTTAAGTTCAAAGCTTGAGATTTAGTCTTCATTCATTACATTTCCTTACTCCTTTCCTCATCTAATATGTCAATGGGTTTGGTTAGAGTTATCTTTTCTGTATCCCAAATGTATATGTTTCTCATTTTTGAAAAATTGTTTTTGTTTATAAAATTTAAAAGTATAATGACACATTTAGAAAAGGACATTGGTGACTATAGAAAGACTTTCTCTGGGTCCTACAGAAAAAGGATAGTATAAATTGCTTTTTCTTATTTAGCAAAATCATTTTTATCTCCAATTTTAATAATAGATTTACTTTTGTGTCACAATAACTAGGGAACCTAAGAAAATGTGTGGAAAAATAATTCATTCCATACCAAATTCCTTACCACTGTGTAATCCTTTTCACCAGTTTAACCCACCTTCAAAACCTAGTCCACAAACCATTTTAGAAAAGTGAAAATTGCTGCTAATATTAAACTCTGATTATATGTGGAGTTCTAAATAAATGGATCTATGTCTTGCTAATTGAATTGGAAGACTCAGTATTGTTAAGCTATCTTTTTAAATTTTAACTTTAAAAAATTTTTATCTATTAAAGTTTTAGAGTCATGTGGTACATGTGAGGATTTGCTACCATAAGTATATCGCGTGAAGGTGAGATTTAGGCTTCTAATGAGCTCTTTATTTCTCTTTATCTCCACTGCCTTAATTCAAATGGAAACCATTATCATTTCTCTAGACTAGTGCATCCTAAAGCATGATCTGCAAGCTGATGTCAGTTCATGACTTTTTTATCTCTTGTCCCCAACAAGATAAATATAGAAATTGAGAGTAAAATACTAGAAATTGAGAGTAAAATACTATCATAGCATCTGAGTACATGATCATCTTTCTAGAAACTAATTGTTACTGTATTTTATTCATCAACCTTGGATTGAAATTTAGTACAGAAACTCAACTGCACATAATTTGTAATGATCCTAACTGAGGTTTCTGCTTTCACACTTGTCCCCCTTTCAATCTCTTGTCTAAATCCATTCTTTCTCTTTACAGAAGGTGTGGCATGAAAATTGAACCACTTTCTAGCTTAAAAGTTAATAGAACTTTCTAGTGGCACTTAAGTACAAACTTAACATTGAATAAAAAGTCCAACATGATTTGGTCCCTGCATATATTTTTAACCTCTTCTGCCATTTTTCCTTTCTTCCCTGTGGTCTACACATTTGCTCTGTTTCAGTTCCATAAATGCAGCAGTGTCTTCCTGCTTTTGGCATTTGCCCACGTTCTTACCTATTATGTGAACTGTTCGCCCACTTGTTCTTTGCCAGTTGGCTTCTTTTCATCCTTTAAATTTCAGTTTAAATGCCACTTTCTTTGAGAGGCCATTCTATGCATTTTATCCAGAGGACAGTTTTCTGCCAGTATACACTCATTTTGTGCCTTCGTGTGTTCGCATTTATTTGTATGTGTGTTTGGTTGTAATTCTGTTTATGGTCTGGCTCCCTTACTCTACTGAAGCTTTTTGAGGGATGGGTTTAATTCTGTTTTATTTGCCATTTAATAATAATTTAGCAGAGTTCTTTGAACATAGGCTCTAGTAAGTGTTAGAATACAGTCATTTGAAATCCAACAAAGGGGCAGTAATTTTTCATGTGACTTATTCTCAGCTTGCACATTGGCAATCAGTGCGTTTGCTTAAGTAGTGGTAGTGGTAGTAGAAGTTGCAGCAGTTAGCATCAGCTGTGGCTGCAGGGTTCAGTAAATGTTAAATATGTGTCAGGATCTAGTCAAGGATTTAGCATGCATTATTGTTCTTAAAGTTTTCACAGCAAAATCAAGTTATAGAAACTATTATCTCTTACCATTGAGGACACTTAGGTCAAGCAAAGTTAATCAACTTGCCTAGGAAATGGCAAAATAGGAATATAAACTAAAATAATCTGAATATAGGCCCTTGTTGTTGACCACTCTGTCATACAAACTCCTGTGTTATTCTCTACCCTACCCTTTCAAAATCAAGTTTATTATTAGCATGTTCTTCAGTGTCTCAGCCTTGGTCCTTATATACCAGGGAACCTATTTATGTTATTTTGCAGTTAGTTTTTGCTGACCTCTAAGTTTATTTTTAATTATTTGTAAGCTTTTATATTTTGCCTTTTTCTTATAATGGGTCTTCTCAACCTTGAGTTTAGTAAATGTTTGCCTGAATTCCTGAGCCTATTTGTGGGTTTCCTTACAAAATTAATGGTATTTCAGTCACAGATCCCTCCCTCTCTCTCTTTCTCTCTCTCTTTCTCTATTTCTTTCTTTCGCTGTTCCTTTCTCTCTCTCTCTCTCTCTATTTTTTGTTGTTCCTTTCAGTCATTCTCATAACCACTCCTGTTTTCTGTTCATCTGCCATATATCTATCCATCTTGTCATCCCTTTATCTCTTCAACAAAAATCAAATATTTATTGAAATTATATTTCACATGACACTGTCTACTAATCAGATTTATCCATGAACCCTATTTCTCAACATGTTTTAGTCTCAGAAGAAACATGAGAAAACTATAATAATATGTATGTGTGCAAGCTTATATTTGTGTATATAGTTCTTTGCTTCATGTGACTGAAAAGCTCATACTACTGAACTCTGTGATATTTTATCACAGTGAAATAGCTATAAAGAACTATAATGACTTAGTTAAAATGTGGCGTTTTGCTGCCTTTTAAATGGAACATTTCCCCCCAAAATTTGTGTGCTGTATGTGTTTGCTATATGATTCACTTTAAAAGTGGTATCATGTTGAATTTGAAATCTCCTAAAATTTTATTGACTTTTGTGACTTAAAACTCCAGCACAGCAGCATGTGGCACATTGAAGGCAGCCGATAAATGTTTATTGTATGGTTAAATGCTGAAAATTAAACATGCAGCACTTTTTATCCTAAAATGTTCTTATCTTGTGTTAGGTTATTACTATTTTGCCAACAGATACCTTATTTATTATAAAGTTTGCTGTATATGCAAATAATAAAGATATTAACATTTGTATTTTTCTAACATGGTCATAGTCCATAATATGGTCATTTTCAGATAATATAGACCTTTATATATACTTGACCCATTGCTTTTATTTATTTAAAAATATTTTTTAAGTTGTAGAATCAGGAGGTACACATGCATATTCATTATGTGGGCATATTGTGTAGTGGTGGGGATTGGGTCTCAAGTGGTACATTCCCCAGATAGTGAACATTGTGCCCTGTAGGTAGTTTCTGAGCCTTTAATGCACTCTTCTCTTCTAATAAAAAAAAGAGAAACAGTTTTAAAAGAGAAAAAATAGAAATATTGTAGGTCTTAGCTTCCATTAACTCCTTTCACTATCTTCCAAAATGTGTTAAGCACATTTCCTTTTCCCACAGTATTATTTGCCCTTATGCTGTTTTTACATTTATTATAGTGGTAATCAGTTTATTATGAAATTTTTAATTTTATTTTTGCTATGTGTGAATATACATGGACGTAGATAACTCAGTATGTGGCAGTGTAATATAGTTGTCCGCCCTCATTTGTGGGGCACATATTTTTAAAAATATAATATCTATTTTTTATTTTAAAGTTGTGGGGTACAGTTAAGGGTTAGGTATACCAATATGCATTGTGCAGTTACTCTTGTTGATGAGGTGTGCCCCCACCTCGTCCCCTGACAGATATCGACTACCGTTAATCCCACCTCCCTTCCACTCCCTGTCACCCCCCCCCCATAGCTTCCTGCCACTGTCAGTCCTTTTCTTATAGTATTACGGTAGTTGTTCAGGGTCCACTTATGAGTGAGAACATGTGATACTCAGCTCTGTGTTTCTGTGAGAGATCACTCAGTATTATAAACTCTAATTCCATCCAGGTTGCTGTGAAGTTCATGATATTGTTCTTCTTTATGACTGCATAGTATTCCACTGTGTATATGTACCCCAGTTTTAAAATTCAGTCCTCTTTTGATGGGCAGCACGGTTGGTTCCATGTTCTTGCTACTGTGATCAATGCTACGATAAACATACGTGTGCAGGTATATTTTTTATAGCGTGATTTGAGTTCTTCAGGGTATATTTCCAGCGGGATTGTGGGGGTCGATTTTTAGAGCTTTTAAGGATCTACAAGGATCTCAAACGTGCTGAAAAGAAAAAAAGCAAACAACCCCATTACAAAGTGGGCAAAAGATATGAACAGACACTTCTCAAAAGAAGACATACGAGCGGCCAGCAGATACATGAAGAAATGTTCAACCTCACTAGTCATCAAGGAGATGCAAATTAAAACTACCCTGAGATACCACCTAACTCCAGTCAGTATGGCCATTATCAATAACTCAAAAAATAACAGATGCTGGAGAGGATGTGGCGAGAAGGGAACACTTCTACACTGTTAGTGGGACTGTAAACTAGTACAGCCTCTGGGGCACACATTTTAAGATCCCCAGTAGATAACTAAAACCGAGGGCGATACCAAATCCAATTGTGATCAGTCAGAACATGTTTCTATTCATGTCTTCTACCCACAGATTTAATGGCTTTTTCATCTTAGTTATTAAGCACTTACTTAATTACTGTGGCTGTAATTTTTGTAGTTTGCGGTGTAACAGCAAAACTAGCATGAATTTCTATTTCTTCACGATCTCATGGATACAAGAGTCATTCTTATTGTAGATCTCAGCAACCTCAGGATATGATTTTTTTTTTTCGTATTGAAGGATTTTCACCTTTTAACTTAAAGGAAGCACTTTATGGGGTCTCTTTGCCAGTGGCATTTCCAAATTGCCAGCATCATTACTGTTGTGCTTTGGGGCCATTCTTGAGTAATATAAGGCTACTTGAACACAAGCCCTGCAATACTGCCACAGAAAAGGCTACTAAGGGACTAATAGCATGCAGAGTGTGGGTATGCTAGACAAGGGGAGAATTCACATCCTGGTGAAACAGTGTAAGATTTTACTTTAAAAGGCATGCAATTTCAATCTTATGAATTGTTTGTTTCTCAAATTTTCCACTTAATGTTTTCGGACCACAGTTAGCTGAAACCAAAGAAAGCCAAACTGTGGTTACTGTATATCCACTTTCCTTGTGACTACAGATTGTTGAATAATGCATTTTAATGTTTTTATGAAGCAGATAAGTAATGTTATTTGAGAAGATTACAGTAAGTTGTATATTTTCTGTTTTACAACTAGTCATATATGATACAAGTAAATTTTAGCTCTTATTTGTAAGTTTGACAATATGTATATGGTTTTTATAACACATAATTGTGATTTCCCCTCCTTTACAGTTTCTCAAGCAAGACCTCCTCCAAATCAGAAGAAAGGTGAGGTTGTGCATATGATTTTAAACTTACTTTTAAAACAGGTAATAATTGCCAAACTGCAACTGTTATTGTGTTTGTGTACCTATATCAAATATTTGTGCCTTGTATCCATTCTGACTAATCCATGCTCGAGCTACACTGATGATTGAATATTTTGACTATCACTTCTGGCTTAAAATATTTTTTAGCTCAAAAAAATTAAAGTTGTAATTTATAAACTTTCAACTTATAGTAGGGATAGTAAGTGTAATTTTCTTTAATAATGTTATTTGTAACCTGTAAATTTTGTCTTTATAGGGTCTAGAACACCCATTATCATAATTCCTGCAGCTACCACTTCTTTAATAACTATGCTTAATGCAAAAGACCTTCTACAGGACCTGAAGTAAGTAATTTATTAAACTATTTTTTTTGTAGGACATTGAGATGTCATTGAAAAATACTTGTTACTGAATCAGTCTTACTTATTTGGAGAAAACAAAACATCAGTTTCTGTCCTATAGACTTTACAGGTAGTCTGAAGCATAATTTTTCAAAACAATACCTCATTTTATATCTTGTTACTATAGGGGAAAGTTATAGAAACTTCCGGCTAAAGATCTAATAAAAAGGATACCATTGTATTAACTTATAATATGAATTGTTTTGATTTTTTTTCCCCTGAAGAGCTTGAGGAGGTTCTAAAACAAATTCAGGTTCTTCTGTATAGTAGATGTATACTAGGGGAAGGAGGTGGGTGGACATAGTATTTAAACTAGACAGTGGTCACAGTTAAAGTGAAATGAAACATATACTCTGTGTTAACATTACCGGATGCTTAACTTCTTGCAATTTAAAAATTTTAATTTTTTTATTTCAAAGATGGGTACAATTCAAGATTAAGTATACAAGTGGTCATTGTACAGGTAAAGTTTGGGCCTCCCTTTGATCCCCACTTTGCCTGGTTTGAGGTCATGTATTCTTACTGATTTTTATGTGCACCTTCTCCCTCTCCTGGCACTGCGAATCCCTTTCTTACAGTATTATGATAAATGTTCAGGATCCACTTATGAGTGAGAACATGTGGTACTCAGTTCTTTGTTTCTCTGATAGATCCCTGAGTATTATAGACTTGAAATCCAAGTTGTTGTGAAATCCATGTTTGTGCTTCTTTATGGCTGTGTAATATTCCATCCTGTATATATACCACATTTAAAAAATCCAGTCCAGTTTTGATGGGCAGCATGACTGGTTCCATGTTTTTGCTATTACGAATAGAGCTGCAATAAACATGTTTATGCAGGTATCCTTGGTAGAATGATTTGAGTTCCTCTGGGTATATTCCCAGTAGGGGGATTGCTGGGTCATATGGAAGGTCAATTTCTAGTTTTTTTAGAAAATGCCACACTGTTTTCCATAATTTGCATTCCCATCAGCAGTGTAGACGTGTTTCCTTTTCTCTGCATCCTCACCAGCATCTGTTGCTTTGTGTTTTATTAATGATGGTCATTCTTACTGGGACTAGGTGGTACCTCAGTGTGATTTTGATTTGCATTTCTCTGATGATGAGTGAGGCTGAGTACTTTTTCTTGTGCCTGTTGACTACCCATACGTCTTCTTTTGAGAAGTGTCTATTCATGTCTTTTGCCCACTTTTTAATGGGGCTGTTTGTCTTTTTGTTTTTTCCTTTCGGCATATTTGAGTTCCTTCTAGATCCTGGATATTCGGACTTTGTCAGATATACAGTTGGCAAATACTTTTTCCCATTCTGTGGACTGCCTCCCCACTCTCTTGATGGTTTCTTTTGTTTTGCAGAAGATTTTCAGTTTGATGAGGTCCCACTTGTCCATCTTATCTTTTATGGCATGGACGTCTAGAATTTTGATCAGGAATTGGTTGCCTACTCTGATTCCCACAAGGATGTCTCCTGCATTTTCTAAGATTTTTCTAGTTTGAGGTTTTACATTTAGGTCTTTGATTCATTTAGAGTTGATTTTTGTGTGTGGTGACAGGCAGGGGTCAACTTCTTGAAATTTTTAATGTCTCTTTTCCTTCCCCATTTTAAAAACATGAATACAATTGCACTTGTAATCAATTTGTTCTAATAAACATGAATCATGGTAATGGGTACAAAATAAATCGCTTTCCTCTCCGGTCAGTTTCAGACTTAAAATTTAAGTAGTTTACATATGTTCTTCAGTAGCATTTCTTCTTATATTAATGGATTTGAATACACATACCACTTTTAAAGATTAGAACTATTTTTATAACTTTATATTATTTCCAGGATTGGTTGTAGTTGAGAGAAAAAAATAGCAGTGTTAAAATTGTTTTAAATAATTTTCAGTGATATGTGATTAGCAAAGTTTAAAAATGAGCCGTTGGTTAAGTGGTTTTTAGAATGCTGTCAAGTTTTCTTAGACCGCACCTACCAAACAATGAGTTTTTTCAGTAGATGTGTTTTTACCATACTGGTTGTTAAAATAGGTAAATACTTTACCTATTCCGTTAAACACTGCTGACTGATGTTAGAGCTTCAAAGATAGTTTCTTTTGTCAGAATATTTTTCATTGAATAGTGTAAATAAGTTGAAGAACTCAAAATTATAATGCATCATATTTTAGGAGACGAGAGAAGTGCTGTGATCACTAGTTGAAGAGAAGGGAGTTAACTGTATTCTGCTATAATATTTTCATAGGCACTAATTATTAAGTAGAAGGTGTCCAGTTATGTTACAAACCTGGTGATTTAATCTTGCAATTACCAATTTGGACTGTTGCTTACTAATCTTTTTTTGTTTTGTTTTGTTTTTTGAGTTGGAGTCTCACTCTGTCACCCAGACTGGAGTGCAGTGGCCGCTCCCGGCCACCGCAGCCTTGACCTGCTGGGGCTCCGGCGATCCTTCCACCTCAGCCTTCCAAGTAGCCGGAACTACAGGCGTGCGCTACCACACCTGGCTAACTTTTTTGATTCATTGTAGAGATGAGGTCTCACCAAGTTGCCCAGGCCAGTCTCGAACCCGCGGGCTCAGGCAATCTACTCACCTCAGCTTCCCAAGGCACGGGATTGCAGGCTGAGCTATAGAGCCCAGCTGCTTAACTAATCTTAATTTGGGTTTATTTGAAGAAATACTAGATTAAAGGCATGCCCTTCCATAGTAATTTTGTGATTGCTTTTGCCAGATGCTCTAAGAATATTGTAACTCTTAAATGGATTTTTGTGTTAAATCCTCAACATGAAGATTCTGGTCTGTCCATAAGGCGGGTATAAATTCAAATTCAGATCAGTCCTGAGTGACATTGAGGTTGTCCCTTGACTGACAAATTTATCCAGGATCCCTTTTTCTTCCCCTACTCTAGAACCATATCAAGATGGACATGCTTCCCCAACTTTTGACTGGAAACAGAATTTCCCCTTAGTTCATTCTTTCATTGATTGTGTGACTCTTCTGTGGCTCTCTAGTTATAGCTCCTTTGTGTCATTTTCTTATGTGGGTGATAAAAACTAATGCTGAAGAATGCGTATACTTTCTTCCCTTGCAATAGTAATACACTTGATTGGTTGTCAGTCTTTTTATTTCTTTATAGCATATGACTATCTTTTTTTCCCCTTTTCTTTTTTTTTTTCTATGCATTTCAGGTATATGTTATATTTTATTTAGCATTTCTAGGTGCTTGTAGTGGAGGGTTTTATTCTATCAAATACGCGGCATTATTGGAACTACAACTTTATAAGAGATAATTGATCTGTTTTAGTAAGTTATTAGCCTGTTAAGGCAACAGCAAATTTCTTAATTCATGTTCCATAATTGTTTGAGTTGTACCTGAGGAGAATTAAAAATGCAGAATATTTCATAAAATATTTGTCCACTTAGTTATAAATATATTGAGTCTGGGATACACTCAACATTAGAAATAAGTTTTAATCTTTAATCAGTCGCTGATGCCTCTGCTGAGACAGATGAATTTAGTGACAACTCTCATTTGGGGAGATTGATGTATATATTGAGTTTGTTCACTTAACAAATGCAAAGTAATAACTAAAAAGCAAATTGCTCTGTAGATAAATATGCCACATGCCCAACCTTCTAGGAGCTCACATGATAGTGGTGTGGTGTGTTAGAGTCATGAATTACAACTGATAAGAAGTAAAAATGTTCCAGCATTTAGTATACAACCTAGTGTCAATGCCTTATTGTTCATACTATAGTGAAAAATACGTCCTTTGACAATTCACAGACTTGAATCACATCCTGAAGATAGGTTCAAAATCAAATTAGACCTCAACAATTATCAGCCATTAACAGCTTTACCTAGTTCCTCTCACAAATGATGTGATATGAGTGAGAATGTACATAACAGTGATTTTTCATAATGTAAAGAAATACTTGAAATTTATTGTTGTCTGCTATTTGAGAGCTAAACTGGATATAGATTACATTTAACTTGACCCAATCTTATTCTTGAATGAAAATACTGATAAATAGTAGAACCTTAAAGGCTGTTTTAGTCTTTTAACTCAGAAAAGAGCAGGAAATAGAACCAGGTCTCTTGCTATGATCAATTTAGCAGTCTTATCATTTGGACCTTGCAGATACCTACCAATCATTTAGATTAAGAAATTGGGTTTTATTCTGGTCCTTATAGTTGTGTGATAATAGTCAAGAACAAAACAAACTTTTCTAGAAAATTCAAGACCCCAGTTCAGGGTTAGACTAATTATATTTTGTAATCTGAATGATCTGGTGTATATGTCTTGATAAGTACTTTTAGTGGTAACTAGGAAAATACATTTACTCAGCAACATAATTAACGTCCAAAAAATGATGTGAATGCTCTGACTTCTTCCTTAAATATCAATGATAATTCTTTAAGAAACAAAATTAGAGCAACTTAACACCCAAAAAGAAAATTATATTGCTTTTAAATAACTTATGACTGTTTAAAAATGAGTAGCAAAATAAGTTGCAGTATTTGCTGACTTTAGTTTTCACTAAATGTAATGTTAAGCGCATCTAACTTAAGTGACTTTCTTTATAAAATGCAGTTTGGCACATACAAGTGTATTCATTCATAAAGTGAATTTTTTTGATTTTTAGTACTTTTGAATAACAAAATAGTCAGTGAACTTTTTTCAATTAATATTATGGGAAGAAGTAATTTTTGTATTAGGCTTTTATGGTAAACTTTTAGTAATTCTGGCAGATATGGATCTTTTACATATGCCACCTAATGAAATTCCTCATGTAATCTACAACTGCGTGTATAAGGAATACAATAATTTTGGTCCTTGAGATAGATATGATAATATAACTAAAACTGTCACACCAACACAAAAATGAATTACAGTAAATACTTTTAAAAATGGATTAGTTTTCTTTTTTTTTGAGTTGGAGTCTCACTCGGT